CTCCTTTGTAAAAGTAATTGAGTTTCTGTTAGTATTTCTGAATTGGAGAGAGAGGAATCTCTGGGTATTTTGCAAGGACCGGAAACCTGATCCCTCTCCACTGCCTCACCACAGGGCTCTCATGCACTGTCTTCTAAAAGCCAGGGCATCCTGGTTAGCACAGGGCTCTCTCTCCAAAGTCCTAGACCCTTAATGCTCTCTGCTCTGGATTTGGCCGGGCAAGTCACCTCTTGGACACGCGATGGAGATACAGCATTCTACCTGGGCAGGGAGATGGTGAGGGAACTGAGAACCAGGCTCTGGAGACTGCTGATCCTCCACCATCAATGTTTTCAAAAGCATCTTCACACCAATTCACAGCTTGACCTCCTTGGCACTAAGTCATGGGCTGGACTTGCAGTGCATAGGGGTGTTCACACAGGTAATGACACCTCTTTTCTCCTGAGTTGAAAGATCAAATGGTTTTGCAAGCTCCCTTCACCTGGGGTCTCCTGTGCCTCTGGGCCTGGGCTGATGCAGACATCACAAGTACTGCACCAGGCACACACACAGTTCAAGTCGCCACAGAACTATCCAAACAGGCTGGAACACATTCAAGGCCCTTCTTGGAGTCTGAGCAAAGTGGAGAGGGTAGCGATGAGAGAGGTCTTGTTAGAAGTCTCTTCTGCTTCAGCCCCAAGTTACCTGGTCAGGCCCAGTCAGACATCTTCTTGCTCAAAGATGATCCCAACCAATGTTCCCAGTTAGAAATCCTGGGGGCTTTATCTCCTCCCCTACAAAGTTCTCCGAAAGAGAAACAGAAGGAGGAAAAGGCAAAGTGCTCTGCCTTCAGATGGGGCCAGTCATCGTCCTCCAGTTAAGTACTAGTTAGGACTGCCTGGCCATCAGCCTAGGAGGGTCTGGTGCCTGCCGCAGGTTGGAGCAGAGAAGCCAAAGCCAGACAACCTGGAGATGAGTGTGGTTGGGGTGGGTCCTTCTATCTACATCCTCAGAGCACCAGGGGGACGGATTCATCCTGTCTGTAAAACTGCCACAGTGAGGCCCTGGACCCTCATCTCACTCCAGCTGGAATCTGCATCCACCAGCATCCACCAGGCTGCCATAACCTTGAAGACTGCTCTGGAGACATGAAGACCCTCCCAAATGGCATCACACAGTGAAAAAAATAAAACCAAAGTCAAGCGCAGCTGGCGTGGCTCCGTAATTGAGAGTTGGTCTCCGAACCAGGAAGTCATGGTTTGATTCCCAGTCAGGGTATATGCCCGGGTCTCGGGCTCGATCCCTAA